GTTAGAAATAAAGTCTTTCAGAAGAGTAATATCTGGAGCTTCAACACCTCCAGAGGAAGCTATCAACTAGCCCAGATTCTCGTTAACTTTGGAAGATACAGATACCAAGGAACCGATGATGGCTGCAATTTTCCACTCTCCATTTGATTTCATGTGGTCTGATAGAATTCAGTCTTCACACAAGTATTTTGGGATAGCATGAAGTCATGGAGTTCGGGCCCAATGCTGTCACTCTCACTGAAGGGTCCAGAGTTGCCTCGCCGTGTCAGTAACCGCTAAAGCCATAACCTCACGGTGGACGGAGTTTAATGACACCGGAGATATTAATAGCTGCTGACACAAAGGTCCAGCAGATCGAACCATAAAGCACAGTGAGCCCTACAACTCAGTAGGCGAAGACACAGGCATTCTCTGACACAGATCTCCAGCGGGAATGAAACGGCACCTCTGGAACGTCTCTAAGACCCAGCAGATGATCCGAGGAGATGATTCCTGAAGAAGCAGCAGAGGAAGTACACACCTCTCAAGATTGGCAGGACTCCAGTGGAGAGGGTCAGCAGCTACAGGTACCTCGGAGTACACATCTCTGAGGACCTGACATGGACAAGCCACAGGTCCACCCTTGTGCAGAAAGCTGAACAGTGACTGTATCACCTGAGGCAGCAATTGAAAATCTCCTCCGCATTGCAAAAAAAACCCACAGCGTTGCTGTGGGAACTGTGCTTTCTGGGAGTATCACTGCTTGGTATGGCGCTGCAGCCCCGAGGACCACAGAGCCCTGCAGTGGGTTATATGATGCGCCAAGTGAGGGGAAAAAACTGCCCACCCTGCAGGGCATCTACATCCATCGATGTGGGTCCAGGGCATTAGGCATCATCAGAGACACTCAGCACCCCTGCCATGAACTGTCCCAGTTACTGCACAGGTAGGCGCCTCCAGAGCCTTACGGCCGGGACAGAGAGACTGGGGAGAAGCTTCTGCCCCCAGGCCATTAACAGCACCAAGTGAAATAAGTTAAAACTGCAACCTGAACTTTAATATCATTTAAATATAGTTATCTCCATTTTTTAATCATGTTTTTCACTTATTTATTATAATATTTCTATTGTTTAGCACTTTTTGTTATTTAATTTTGTTATCCCTTGCTATCCTGCTTTACCGTGTTTATTGCACAGTCTGGAATAGTGGCAATATCATTTCACCATTGATGTACCACTACATTCATGCATGTGGTAGATACAAATCTTGAATCAGACACACTTTTTAAGCAGCCTTTTCGTGTATATGGTCTCTTTGCACATCTTGGACTGGAGACAAAAGCACGGCTGAGATTTTGAGCTCTTTACACGCCTGCCATTGCTATGGAGGAAGTAAGTGATGGAGGAGCCCATGCAAGCCTTGAAAGATTGATCTGAATGACAATAGTAATGTGAGGTCTGCAAATGGCAGGTGTGGTATTCCAGCTGAAAGGGACACATTGTTTTTCATGTCCTGCTGACAAAGTCAGTGTCTACAGTTTGTTTTTTCTAAATACTTTATTTGTTGTTACTGTTTCAGTACCTTTTGTGGTTGCTATTGATTTCCTTTTGAATCACCAAAATAAAAGTGTGAAATAATTTTTGGCTGCTTTTCTTGAAAACAATGCATGCTTTTACAGCATAATAGCTAATGTCAAACTAAGCATTAAATCCCTGTAATTCTTATGATCTTCATATACAGATGGATAAAATTCAGGGGACTAAGGACCTCAAAGCTTCAGTCTCCCTTACAATAATCTTTTTATTTGGCCCACTACCTATTACCTTCATATAAACAAACATGACTGACAGACAGACAGATACATACATACATACATACTTTACTGATGCCGAAGGAAATTAATGAGGTACTGTATTAGGTAAGTTCTCTCCAAACGAGCCTGATGAGCCGAATGGCCTCCTGTCGTTTGTAAATTTCTCTCGTTTGTAAATGCATCCAGTAGCTTAAATACACAAAAATACAGAAATACTGCTACAGCACGGGCAGGTTTTATTTGCAAAGTGAACCCTGGACAATCTGATGCCCCAGCAATGTCAGCCGATGCAGATCAGAGTGCACAGGAAGACCCTGCACACACACACACACACACACACACACATATGTCGATGAGTGCTACACGGAGCGCATACCTGCATGAGCCACTGCTCCAGCGAAACGTCCGTGTATGCTCAGGTGTGCTGATATGCGTGTGTGTGTGTGTGTGTGTGTGTGTGTGAGTGTGGAGTTCATTTTATATGCTAAAAATACAGCTTTGCTGTCAGACCTGCTTGTATTTGCTGATGGCTGATGTTTCACCAGAGCTACATCTCTGTTTATTTATTTTAGCAAAACCATATCGGTATCATCAAACAGATCTCCTCTCGAAATGTAACTCACAATATTTGCTTTCAAAGTTCAAAATAGCTCTTTTTTAAGTGAGCCCTGTATGTAGCATGGACGATGTGTGCTTGGCACCTGGTGAACATGCACATGCACATGACTAATCTAACAAAGAGCGTTTAAGGAATGCCAGCGGTGAGAAGGTAATTCATGCAGCTGCTAATAAATGTAACGTCAAAGTCACATCATCCCACGCTTCTGCTGGGGCAGGGATCTTCAAATCTGGCCCTGAATGCCAAATCCAGGCCTTGTTTTCGGTTCTCCCAGGCAGTTAGTTTAATAATTACTGATTCTGATTGGTCAGAGGCTTCAACCTGGCTCACAGGTAAAGGAAGGCTGGAAATCAGCAGGGCTCGGCCTTTGAGGACTGTGATTTGAGTAGCCTTCTATAAGGGATCTCCAGCTGGTCGACATGTGCAGGCAAGTTGGTGGTCTGACGATTAGTGGACTGGAACATGGGCCAAAATTATGCAAGTTTCATTCCCTGGAAAAGTCTGCTAATCTATTCTTAAGTACTGTACTTACTTAACCTGAATTGTTTCACTAAAACGTCGGCTGACAAGCTACTTAACGTAGTACGAGCTGCATCATGAAATAGCTTAATAAGCAGAATGTAATACAACAATGCCCTGCAATCGGTTCATGCCGCTCAGGCCTCTGCAAGGAGAAGGCGGAGACTCTCACCCCCAGCGAGAGCCTCCTCTCCGGGAAGGCCAGCACCATGCTCTCCTTATATTGGAGGCACAAGCTCTCGTGCTTTTGATTGAAGGCACAAGCCGTGCTGTTCCTGCTGGCAGACTGCTAACATGCTAACTGCATTATCAGCATATTGAATGCGTATCTTCACACAGACCCTCGGAATGCGACTAGACCTAACATTACCCTAGCCACCAGCATCCAGGATATATTACATAAGTATACTCACACGGATAGAATCATTGCCATAATTACACTCCATCTTGCTCTATTCCAATCTCGTGACAGGTTCTGATTTATCAGGGTCAACAGAACATTTGAATGGCACTGTGTAAAAAGTTAAACATACAGAGGATACTAGGCTTGGGTGTGTGACATTTTTCCTGGGAAACACAACTGTGACCCACAGAAATAAATACTCATTGTTGCAAGAAAAAACGACAGAGAACCGAAGGAATTTTCAGTCCCAGGAATGTCGATTATCCATTTAAATAGGATACAGAGTCAAAGATGATAAAACTTTGAGTTCATTATGCAAATAGTCTGAACTGTGGTGCAAGTTTGCCCATTGATGCAGGATCTGTGTGAGATTGGCCACAAAAGACCAGCGTGTAGGGAAGTTGGGGTAATGACCTCCTGTTTCGTACAGTCGCGCTGATCCATAATGCGATTAGGACCGGCTGCCCAGCTCACATGATCTCAAATTCATCAGACTGCAAGCCTAATTATAAAACCAGGACTGAGTGCGATCCATTCTGCTGCTCCATAGAGTAGACCGTACTCCATTCCATGCAGCCACACTGACTGCCATCAAACACAACACCAAAAAGACATCTCCCTCAGCTGCTCTGCAAACGTGCCAGTTATCCAGAGAACATGCCAATGATTTCTACAGCCGGGTAAAATGGTACTTTACCTAGATAGAGGTTTCTGTGTCAATATAGAAGCATCTTTTCCTCAAAAGCTTCTCAGTCAAGTTCTGTTTCAAAGGGCTCTACCTCATTTGCATAAGTAATATCTGGCCATTTACTTGGAGGCTGGTTTAAACAATAGTAACACCAAAACTCTCTGGTGACAGGTCCCAACGTAACTGAAGCAGACACTGAGACACATATTGCACAATTTGATAAAAGGTACAAAAAGAGAGTAATGTCATATTATCGTTGGAGTTTGATGGCAGTTTATGATGAAAGAATCTACTACAAAATCACATTGTCACACTTTGTGACAAGTGTTCTTCGCATTTTCTGCATTTGTGATAAACATAGTGTAATACATTGATAAACTACAACTCCATGACAATCCTATAATTCCAAAGTTCCACAACTGTTTGTATCATAGACTATGAACCTCTATGACCCCACTGTGAATGGATGCTTTTCTGGCAACAGAGTAGTCTGAGTGGTCTGCAAACAGGCCAACAAGACCATTTTTCAGGACAGGGTGTTATTTTGGAGCAGTGGCTGCTGAGGTGTGTTTACACAGCACCACAGAAGCTGTACCAACACCAAAAACATCTCAGTTACTCAAAAAGCTTTCTCTGTCTGAGGTGATATGAAGCTTCTCCCATCCAACCAGCATACTATTTAAATCTTCATTTGACATAGAATGCACTAAACAGACCATTCCTGCGTCAAAAAGTAAAATACTGAAAAGGATGAGGGGTTTTATTGTATATGAAGCTTATAAACCGCTAAATACAGAGCAGTCTTATGATACAAACATCACGCCCCCCAGCACTATCACGCACGTGGGTTTTATCCCAGACTACACTGCGCCCACTTGCCTCTCGGCTTCATTCACAGCTCGGTCACGTGACTGAGGCGGAGCCGGTGGTGACGTAGTTGCCGTACGAGCCAATCGGGGCGTCCGCTCGGCTGCTCGTCATCGTAGCATAAACACTGCGAGCCATCGTGAGCGGCTACCGCTGACTGACTGGCGGGCTGAGGTACCGTGGCTCGGAGCTGTCGGGGGAATGACGCGGAGAAGCAGGCGTATATGTTTCTGAGGACTGGTCGTTTCCTACCGCTGGGAGCTGCGAGCTGAAGCCCAGTTTTAGTTCGCGTGGAGGCGGCGGTTCGTTGCACTATCTAACGACCGGGCCCGCTCTTGAGGGCCGCTCGCTTCACCCCGTCCGACCCTCGCGCCGCCCGGCTGCCGGACGATGAGCCAGGATGAGTCAGAGAGACGCGCTGGTTCATCTCTTCGCCGGAGGGTGAGTACGGCGGACGGTCGCTGGGACTGCGCTTCCCGCGGCGCGGTGTAAAGTGATACCGGCCCTGTTGGAGCAGCACCCCCTCCGCCGTCTCCTCCATCCACGGCTGCACGTCCTTCACGGGGAGGGCGAGCGAGCTGGGCGGTCGTGCGGGGTTCTTGGCTCCCATTGCTCGCCTCAGTGCCCTGTGTGGTGCCCTCGTACGGCACACGAAGCCGGTGTCGGTCCCACGGCCTGGCCCAGCCCAGCTGTCGCAGCCGCGGAGTTTCCCCGGCGGACAGCACGACACTTTTCACCGGCGTCGGTCACGAATAGGAGACTGATGACCTCTCAGGGACGGTGGGATGTTTGTATCTGACTCGTGTGCGTGTGACCGTCTGCTCCTTGGGTGAATAAGGCGGGACGCTGTGCTAAACGCATCCAGCTTATTTTTGATACTCTTCCGTACTGTGCAACAGTAAGACTATCTGACAAACTGGTGCATGTCTGGTATCAGACACTGTAACCCTGCTGGAAGAAAGCTGCTTGCAGTGTACTGGTGACGGGCTGTTTAAGAAGCGGCGTGACATGTTTAAAGGTCTGACAACCGACCCCCCCCCCGACCCAGCTGCTGCTTTCCCAGAACTGGGGAGAAACCTGGCCAGTCCGCCACGCCACGTCACGGGGCTCATCCTGTTCGCCTGCTGTTGGAGGGGGTCGTGTTGTTGCATTATTTTCGCACAGTGTAGTCTCACTTCTCCAGTTCTAGTTTTTGCTTGTTAGAGAAAAAGATATGAAGAAGCTGCCCCGTTAGTGTCCCGTGGTACCAGGCGCGAGCAGTTTGCCGGGCCGTTCTGGTGACCGGACCCAGCTCGTTAGCTGCGACATTGCGGTTTGGCCCAGTATGTTATCCTGTTTATCAGGGTAGGGCTGCTGCCTCAGGTGAGCTGCTTTATCATTGTCCCCACTGGTCGCTGTTTTTAACCCCCCAAGGTCACTCTTCATGTGCTGTTCTTTACAGTGGCCGTCACTCAGTGAAATTTGGTCTGTGTCTAATATTAGAAGTAACGCACAGCAGGGCCCTGGCATTGAAGTGTGTCATGGGTCAGGGGTGTGAGTGAGCCCACAGGAGTATCTGGTGCCTCATCGGTTTCTATGCTAATCGTCTTGATATGTGGCTCTTCAGTTTTTCAGAGCAGGCGAATTGGTCGGCCTAGTGAATTTCTCATTTGTGTGTGAATCCACAGGGGATCAGTGTAACGGCGTGTCTCCTGGGAGCCTGCGGAGGGGTGTCACTGTACGGCGACATGTGTCGTCGTCCCCCCAGTGCCAAATATCAGCTCTATGATTCGGTGTATCGCAGGGGTGTGTGTGAGAGAGTGAGTGGCTTGTGCTCTCTGTCTGACAATCCCCCCCCCCAATTCCCATGGCTGTATCTAGGTGTGGGGGCACCGTGGGCGCCATCCTGACATGCCCACTGGAGGTGGTGAAGACGCGGCTGCAGTCCTCATCTGTCAGGCTCTACATCCCGGAGGTGCATCTGAACACGGTGAATGGGGCGAGTGTGACCCGGGTGTCCCCAGGGCCTCTGCACTGCCTCAAGTAAGCAAGCCGTACCTGGCGCTTGGTCCCCGTCACGTATGTTACATATGTACATGTGCTGCATACCGCAGATCTCTGGCTTCTCCACTTGCACTCGCAGGGTATGCTGGGATAGGAAATCACACCCCGAGGTCTCCTGGGTTTGTTTGTAAACATACAAAGTGCTGCTCCCAAAGTTTGCCGGAAATCGGACACCATGTTTTTTATTCTGTCTTCTGTGATGTTCCTTTGTTAAAAAGTGTTAAATAAACAAAAAACAGATCTTAAAGGGCCAGCTCTCTTTCAGGAACTGTGACTTTTATGCTACATAATCATGGGAGATGCAAAAAGCCTGCAACTTCACACACAAAACTACACCCGCACCTCAAAACAATGGATGATGTACAAGTAATTTTGGTATTTATTAGTTACTTTGGGGGTTGATCATACAGTCCAAAAAATGGAACACAGACTTTTATTTATACAGTAAAATCCCGTTATAGTGGACTCACTTATAACTGGATACCGTCTATAACGGACAAAGTCCGCTGGTCCCGGCCATGTGCTTTTAAGAACATGCAGAAAAAGCATCAGATTTAGTGACTCGCATATAACAGAATTTCGCTTTTAACGGACAAACTACATGTACAGTATAATAATCTATACCACAGGTGTGTCTGCTGGGGTGTGGCATGAGTAAATGGTGTCCTGTAGTTGTGTTCTGGGCATACAGCAACTCTGGATATAATGGACTGTTTAGCTGGGTCCCTTGAAGTCCATTATAACTGGATTTTACTGTACAACCCGCAACATGTTTAGAAATCCTTATTAAATCTGACCCACAGGATAGAAATGTTCCTGCGCAAAACTGGATGTTCCGCGGTATTTCGCGATATTTGGTAACTTATAAACTTTGTGTTCATTTCTGCATTTTTTTTTTTTTATATCAACAGAAGTCTTTTAACATAGCAATGCAGGACAGTGTCTGAAAGTCACTCTTTGACAGAAAAAGGCCCTTTTTGCAGCATGTGTGGCCCGTCTTGGCAGGAACGGCTTGGAACCCAACCCTGCTCTGTCTTAAAGAATAGCTGCTAGTTTAGACTTGCTGGCTGTTGCGTGTTGCTATAACCACAATCTGCACCTCCCTACCCACAGGTTAATACTGGAAAAGGAAGGACCTCGTTCCCTCTTCAGGGGACTCGGGCCTAACCTGGTGGGCGTGGCACCATCCAGGTACTAAGTATCTCCGTTGTCATTTTACTGACGTGTCACAGGAGTGTGTGAGTGCCTTAGCTGTTGTAAAACTCAAACCGCTGCTGCCAAGTTTGTGACATTAGCAGAAATGCCTTAGAGCCCATAAGATCTTTGTGCTGTGACATTTACCGTGCTGGTTGCATTGCTCGGCTGCAGTCATCACTAGGTGAGAGGGACATGAATTTGCCTGCTGGCACTGGTAACTGGGGCAACAGGTGGTGGTTCAGGCCATGGGCTTATAACCCACATGTTTCTGGGTCTAGTTGCTGGAAGGGCCATGCTGTAATACCCTTGAAAAAGGTCATTAACCTGGTTCGTTCTCTTGAAACTTTATTGATCCCCTGGGGAAATTCTCTTAGATTTTCAACTGCATGAATGGGTAAAAACTGTGACTTCGGGAGAGCCAAAAAAAAAGTGACCATCAGCTGATCATCATCCTACACAGTTATAATTCAGAAATTTAGCTGCTCTTCCAAAGAAACTGGGACAAGTTGTCGTTGACTTTGAGGCTCAGGCAGGGATCCATAACCGATGAGAAAATACATCGCGGCATATATTTATCTCCACCCCCCGGGGAGAGATCGCCTGCTGCCGGCATGCAGAGCCTTCGCTGGGATGCTCTTGCACTGATCCTGCTCTCACATGAGCTGAGAGACGGGGGCTTTTACACTGCCTGTGAGCGTTCTCTTGACAATGTTAGCTCTCTGGCAGGAGGGAGTCTGCGTGGCTGATTGGCCCCGTAACGACTTGTGTCCCGCCTACCGTTCATGGCACTGGTCAAGCAGCATGCCTGTCAGTGTGCCCTGCATTTCAGTCATTCGCCATTGTGGGGACTGCAGCAAAGCTCAGTTCTCGTGATCAGACTGGTTCGTCCTATACTTCCGCCGCCTGAGCCGGTACCCCGCCAGTCCGCCTCTGGTAGTCATGGCGGCCCGGCGCCTTCGGCTTGGGGACGTCCTTCTGTGTGCCTTTCACGCTCTGGGCATGAGCCCGTTTAGTGATTCCTCCTGCATGTAGGTCAGAGAGCTGCCCGCTGTTTCATCCATCCGTCTTGTCCAACTTCCACTCTGACTGATTAAATAAAGGAATGACGTGAGAGGCCCGTTTTATGCCTGAAAAGTACCAGTGTTGCAACACCTCCTGTTACCTAACCCTGCTTTGGCTGGGGGCGAGGTGGTAGTCAAGAAATCAGTGCTATTTGAAGTGGTAAGTCAATGAGAGCAGATGGGTGCTTGTGAAGGTCCTTTTCCTGCTTGTGGGGGGGGTGTGGAGCGGCCGCCGTCAAGATAAATGGCGGCTAACGCTAAGTGTGTGTGGAGAGCTTTGTTGATCCTCCTGCTGGCGGGGGGAGATGGGTAATGCCACCTTGCGCAATGTCGTTTTGAAACCACCTGTGTGCTCAGGGTTGCTCCCCTCCTGCAAATGGACGGCAGGTCATGTCTGGCTGCTTTTATCGAGCTATAATGGCCCTTTTAGCACGGATGCGAGCCGCACTCGGCCGTGATGGAGTTCTGCCCGCATGGGGTGGGGTGCTGGCTGCTCTGAAAAATGTGCATGTGCTGGATACACGGAAGCACTTTATTTTCTCCTGTCCCTGCGATAGTGCAACCCGTCTTAACCTGCCTGTCTAATTGTGTATACACATAGGCTCAGGCTAAATGCTTCAAGGCCGGGATATGCGGCAGAATATTAATCCAGTCAGTAGCCCAATGGCAGCCCCCCAGCCCAACTTCAGGTTCGTTATTTTGGTGCAAACAGCAAGTCATTGTTTGAAAGGGGGGACACCACACATCTGTGAGCATGTGCATTGTTTTTCCTACTTATGCATAGGAGTCTAAATTCTATCCCCCCCCCCCCCCCCCCAACCTGCAGAGCGATATACTTTGCTGCGTACTCGGGTGCGAAGGAGAGGCTGAATGGCGTACTTGAACCCGACTCCACACAAGTTCACATGTTGTCAGCGGGTTTGGCAGGTAAGGACCACTCCGTTTGACCGGTTAGGCATACCTGGACAGATCCTGTGGGGTGGGGGGTGATCATGTCATGCAAGTGTAACCTGTTAAGGTTTGCTAATGATGTAACCGGTTAGCCTGAAGCGAACAACCTTTAAAAAACCTCTGCATTACTCTGCTGCATTGCCCATTGGTTAGTATTTGGTTACTTGTCTTTCCTCTCTAGCCTTTATGAATATGGCACCTGGCAGTTAGTAATGGCTACGTTTCTGTTCCCACTTGAGTCCTTTGTCTGTGTTTTCAAGACGTTGTCCAGATTTTGAATGAGGACGCAGTTTGGGAGGTTTTTGCTTTGGAGTCTGTGGGATTTTCAGGAAACAAGCAGAAAATTCAGGAATCGCTGCACGCCCACCTGGCCGTGTTGAACGATTCTGAAAAACCTGTCTGTTAGGTGGAGCTTCAGTCAGTCTGGTGCAGAATCCCACATGTGAGCATGCCACCCCCCTTTAATTGGGCATCCTGTTAATCTCGTCTAGCCACTGTAACCCCAGGTCTGTTGACTCCACCTGCCAGCAGCAGAGGAGCCCTGCAGTTTGTATTGGAGCCAGCCTCTTGGCACCTTATCTGTCCCCATAGCGACCCACTAGCTGCGCCGTGTTGTCGTGCGCGATGGACAGAACATAACACGATCTTATCCTGACTAAAATGGGAGATGTGTGCTGGTTACTGTTTAATGGTCATGCCCATTATACTGAGTAAGATGTTCACCTGTTACCATTTTGTAGAGATTTTTGATAGTGCTGTAAATATCCATTTCTTAGAATGATGGTCAGTATACTTTGACTTCCCTCTGTAGTGTGTTTTTAATTATATAGCCTCTGTATGGTTAATTTCTTAATCTTGGACCATGCTTCTTTTGGGAGGGGTGGGGTTGGGGGGTTAGGAGAACAGGGATTGGGAGGAGAAAAGCCTCCATGAGTAGCCAGCTCTCTGGTTTACATGGGGATTGTGCTACCGGGGATTCTCTATTGAGAAATCCTAACCTTGTAATTTCAGAAGTGAGTGTTTCTGTCTCAGGCAGGTTTGAACACTTCTGTTCTCTTAATCTTTGGAGTCTCCCATCCCTGGAGACCTAGGCGGTGTTATGGTTACATGTAGATCCTGCTCCAGACCGACATGCCTGGAAGACCACTTTGTGAAGGGTTATCAAAGGGTATCGAGCAGAGATCAGGTTTGCCTACGTAGCTCCAACTCTTGCCGGATGTGGGACGACCCGTTTCCCAAACAAGTCCGCAAACGAGCCCTGTGTTTTGGTCGGCTGTATTTCTGGCCTTCCTGCGCCTGCAGACCCTCTTCAGTCCATCACGGCCACAGGGTTAGGACCTGTGAGGTCTGCGATGGCCTGTGGTCGCCCAGTAAAGTAGCATCTGCTTCTGAGGGAAATGCTCTACTTGTGTGTATGAGGAAGGGGGCGGGAAAAAGACAACTAGCTCGTGTTTGAGATGCATGTTGAATGACAGTTTTTCCTAAGGGGGGGGGGGGGGGGGGGGCAGGGGGGTGTGGCTTTGCCCTCCTCCCCCTGGTATCCAGGGTCCCTTTAAGGTCCACAGGGCTGGTATGAGTGACATGCATGATCCCGGTTCCACGTGCGCTGTCAGAACATGCAGAATACACATGGAATTCCTCTTTCTGCTGTCTGCTGCCTATCTAGAGGCAGACTGACAAGGTTAGCATTTACTTATCTTACCAGCCCTGTCCCTTGTCATACAGCTTGCTGTGGTTATGAAGGGGGGAATAAATATACTTTTAATAGTAAATTTATACACAACTGTTTTTTTTTAACATCCTGGACCATTAGAATCTACTGGTGCTCTTCCACTTCCACCAGGAGCCAAGCTTTACCCGCCCCGTGCCGCAAACTGACGGTTTTCCATTGCAAAGGGTGTGCGCCGTACCCGACCGGTACCTGTGCGGTGATGGTTCTGCTTACTAGCAGGGCCGAGCTGGTTGCGTCAACAGCATCTGATTGACAGCACAGAGATACCAGTCACCCGTGTCTATAAGCATGGATTATCTGAAGGAGAAAAACGGCATAGGCTTTCTTATTCATTATTAGTAGTATTGCACATTGCAATATATTAATGCATTCCAGATAAGTCAGAACTTGCAAATTTCCAACCTCCTACTTGAAATCTACTATAGCACCGCTGAACAGCATGGATTCGTAATGCAAATTTTCACAAACACATGCTTATTCTGATGCTAACATTACACAGCGATTGTCACGGATGTGCTAGCGGAAAACAAAAAGAAAAAATTCCACATAGTAAATCATGCTGTGTACCGTGTGGACAGTACCGTCTCTTCGGACCCAACAGCACCTTTACTTAGGTGACCGTACTGCAGAATACCGAGGCGAGCTGGAACTGGGCTGTCTTCGCGGTGCGAGTCGGGTACGGGTCGGTTCCTGTATGCCAGTGGAAAAGCGCCATACGTGTTGTTTTTTTTTTTTTTCCCCCCCCCCCCCCCCCCCCCCGCCCCCCCCCCGGGCCGGGGGCCCCCCCCCCCCCCCCAATACTAAATCTCATGTAAATTTGGGGTGGCGTGTGCATGTAGGGGCTAAGAGGATAACCTGCAGTTGCACATGTGCACCACATGGGAGTGTATGCGAGCAAAGCAGTGTGCGAAGGTGCTCTGCTTTGCTCACTGTGGTACAGAAAAGCCTGTGTCTATTTTAGGCTCTTACTGTAGCTTTGAGCAGCGTGACGGGTGAGATGCTGCCAGCTCAGGGCTCATACCTGCAGCTTTCTCTCTGCAGCTGTAAGGAGAGGCTTGGCCCTCGTGAGTACATGCAAGCCTTTTCTACTGCTCTTACTGTTACTGCTGTTAATATTACTGTCATTATTGGTATCTTGTTTTTAATCCATCCTCAGCCCACACCTTAGGGTCCTGTCACTACTTTAATCCAGTTTGTTTGGGTTTTGAGGCCTCTGAGAGTCATTAAGAGCAGAATACCCCTTAGAACCAAGTAATTCCCCACACACTCTTAACAAGATGATACTGGAGTTTTCATATGGCAGCATTCTGTATTGATGGCCACACACAAACACACACACACTGTAATCCCACCTGCACACTGGCCCTACACTGATCCCTCACATTCTACAGACTGATGATACATGAGTATATTTTTACACACCCTTTATCTTCCGCTGTGGTCACATGATCATGTTAATGCTTTGCACGTGCAATGTGCATGATTGGATGAAATAATCCATACACAGTAGTTTGCCTTAGCTGGCGTCATCGGTGTTGTAAACACATACGGCCACCATATGCAACACCTGGGCTTTGCACACATGCACAGTCACACAAAGATGTGTTCAGTTATCCTGGCTCTCCCAGTTTATCTGCATGTTTGGTCTTTGTGTCGTCCTGTAATTAGTCTGACAGCCCTGTAAGATGTTCTTGCCAGTCGTACTTTTGTTCCGTCCATATTCTATAGACACCCGTGTCAAACCATTTCTCGCAGTAGGTGTTTCATTCACTACGGTGGACAATGGTGCTGAAATTTATTGCTCAAGGAGATCCAGTTTCTCCCAGTTAGGGGAGCCACCACCAGAAAGCGTAGTAGTAAAATCCTGCTGAGCTAGATGCTTAAGCAGTGCTGCTGAGATGAGCTCCGGCAGGACGAGTCGGTCCCGTATAGCGTCAGGACGCCACTGTCTTTCATGTCTTTGCAGAATTGCATTTTGACAGTAGCGATTCACAGCAGGATAGTTTACATTCTTCCTGCCGTATCCTGGTGCAGCAGCTTTCAATGCATTACACCGTTAGCCTGTGTCGCATTCCTGTCTGAAATGTCGTATCCCAAACCCTATTTTTGTTAAATAGCTTCCCAGACGTATAGTAGCCCATCATCCAGCATTGTCACAAACACAGCTTGAATAACGGAGCGCCTCCTAGTGCTTATTAGTGTGGCGTTAAGAATGGTGGAGTGTCCATCCAAATTGGCCCCTTTCTTTTCCCAGGTTTCACCGCCATCACAGCCACCAATCCCATCTGGCTTATCAAAACCCGTCTGCAGCTGGATGCCAGGTAAGACAGGGCCACGCACACCATTGTCGTTGACCCCTAGAAGTTGCGTGCTGTGACTGGCTATGCTAACTTAGCCTCGGGAGAGGGCCACCTTTAAGGCAAGTGTGCATTTCCTCGTAAATGAATTCCTCGTCCTGGAGCCCTGGCCCCTTTTCAGCGTGTTGGTCTGTGCAGGACGCTCTCTTGCTTTAGTGGAATTGCCTGTTCATCTGTTTGTCACCACTCCCAGGAACCGAGGGGAGCGGCGCATGAGCGCGCTGGACTGCGTCCGCCGGGTGTACCGCGCCGACGGCTTGCGCGGCTTCTACCGTGGCATGTCCGCCTCGTACGCTGGCATCTCCGAGACGGTCGTCCATTTCGTCATCTACGAGAGCATCAAGAGGCGGCTCATCGAGGCTAAGGCCACCTCCAACATGGACGACGAGGACGAGTCCGTGAAGGACGCCTCTGACTTTTTGGGATTGATGCTGGCCGCGGCCACGTCAAAGACCTGCGCCACTTCCATCGCCTACCCCCATGGTACTTGTCCCTCGATTCGTCTCTTAAGACGCCTCTACAGCAGCCGTGCCGCTATCTGCCGTCTCTGTCGGCTTGCCGTTCCGTTTATTTATTGTCCCACCCCCTGCCTTGCAGAGGTTATCCGCACCCGGCTGCGAGAAGAAGGCACCAAGTACCGCTCGTTCTTCCAGACGTTGTCCATGGTGGTAAGGGAGGAGGGCTACCGGGCCCTGTACCGTGGCCTCACCACCCACCTGGTGCGGCAGATCCCCAACACGGCCATCATGATGTCCACCTACGAGCTGGTGGTCTACCTGCTGGACGGTTAAGCCCCGCCTTCACTCCCCTGGCCCCCTGGAGAGCGCTCCTGGGCCGCCCAACGGGAGACCAAAGAAAGGTCAGGCGGCCCAGATACACTGGCACCCAGCACCCTGCATTCCTAGAGGGGGGGCGGCGAGTGGTGGAGTTTCCCGATGATGAGCAAGGAGGTTGCCAACATGTAAAGAAGGCGGGGGTCACACCGGGACAGCCTGCAAGCTGCACACACCCTGACGGGCAGGAGCTGGAGAGAGACGTTGCTTCTTCAGCCTCTGTGTTTAACCTCTCTCTCTCTCTCTCTCTCTCTCTCTCTCTCCCTTTCTGTCATTTATCTTGCTTTCCTGTCAAGATGCTGTTTCCCCAGTAACGCTGCTTTTGAGGGGGTCTTCTCAGAGAAGGAAACCCACCAGGGGAAGCGTGGGATGGTTTTTCAAAATATGAGTAATACCAACTATACTAATGATTGAACAACAACAACAACAACAACAAAAAAAAAACCCCAGATTCAATGCCGTATGTATCTGCTGGGGGCGCTGTGCAGCTCAGTGGGTTGGGGCACTGTGCTATCAGGTCGTCACCGATTTGAATCCCAGGGTCAGCAGAGTGGTTTCATCTTTGGGTCCTTGAGCAAGATTTTAAAGAAAAGCTTCCATGCTAAGATAAAGGGGTTGAGTTTTATACCTGTGAAGGTATTTTGTTATACAGTGTTGCTACTCGTACATTTCAGTGTTGGACTTTGTATCCTGGGGGAGAAGAAAGCTGTTAAAGCCTTGGCTGGACAGGTCATCCCATCATGAGACAGCACCCCCCCCCACTCCCTCCTGAAAGGGTCTGCTGGGGGTAATGAAGTCTATCTGAAGTTTGGGGTTTTATTTTTCTACTCAAGGTTGGAGGACAATTTGAGCTTCATGTGTGGCTTAGTGTTTAAGTGAATGTTCCCCCATCAAAGTTCAAGTTCTCCCTCCCCACTCTGGGGTGATGTTTGGGGTCATGTGACATGTTTGGGGTCATGTGACATGTCTTGTGGTGGGAGGGTAGGTTGGATTAGCAGGCGTCTTAAAGCCTCGCAAATGGTAAGTGGTTCTTGTTGGGCTCCAGACGCTGCCACATGTTGACCTAAGAGCATGTCGTTGGCATGTTTGCCATTTCATAAACACGCTGCACCCCGTTAATTCAAGCCTCGGTGTGACTATGAACCCTTGAGTGTCTCTGCATCAGTGTAGATGCACATTTCACCCAGCGCTAGCATCAGCTTGGGGGTCCTCTTACAGCTTCCGGGTGGTTAGACTGGGAGGGCGCCGTCCTTGTCATCTTGTTCTTGGAATGCAGCATGCAGTGGAGCCTCGTGACCCCTGTTAGCAGACAAGTCCCTGCTGATCCCCCCCCCCCAGAACTGCTGCGTTCCTCGTTGAATTACAGTAGATTGGCATGAAGGCACCATACTCTGATCTTCCGCCGATGTTAGCTGGATTCTTCATTACTTGAACGTGAGGAGGTGACTCCTAAGCCCGGGGCCTCCAGCTGAAAGGTAAACTGTTAATCAGCCTTTGAACGATGCGAGTAAAGCCTTCCTTTTGTATTTCTAATTACTTGAAAAGTGTTTTTGTTGCGTTCCTGCTTACATTATGCAACAAAGAATCGCGCTAGCCATCGTCTTGCTACCTGAAGTCTGCCTTTCAGTCTCGGTGACTGTATGGTCGAGGTGGGTTTGGGAGTTAGGGCAGGTAACGGGGGGGTGGGGGGTGGGTGCAGGGGCGGCCTGGCTCTCTCCCCAACCCCCAAGCAATTCCATATGCACTTTTGTGGCCTTCTGGCTTGTGAAACCTTTTTTTGTTTTGTTTTGTGTATTATAAGGAATAGTGTTACAAAATAAATATATAAATGATTCCTGCTGAATATATAAAATAATTCAGTGTACTGACTAGTTAAGGATGTCATGTGTGAGTATATATGTGCAGCAGATGCATATATATGTTTACATGTAAATAACATCCACTGATGCTGAGGTCTTCATGGTATGCAAAATTTTTGCAGTTAAGTATTTTAACTGCATTTGTTCGTATCTGAAATGTTTTTAAACTTGCAACGTGTTGTCTTACGCATTGTTTCTGGTTAAGTGTGTGTGCTTCTCATTTCATGATTTTTTTATTTTTTTTCTGTCTCCCCCTCCCTCCATGTTTTGGGTTTATGGTATAATGGCCTCAGTTTCAAACTGGTTTGATTATTGTAGTTCCTCTAATTCTTGACCACATTGTGCTTTTTTTGTCACCTTGTTTTGAACGGAATCTGTGCACATCCAGTGTTTTTTTTTCTTCTTCTTCTCCCTTGATGTTTACATTCACTACCTGATTGGCAGGCTGTCCTTACTGTCCTCCTGCCTGTTGTATCTTACCGGAGTCCTTACTGTCCATGTTATTTTCACATGACCACATGTACCTGCTTATAAGAGCACTTTCCAAAATCTTTTTAAGCTGTGATCCTAAGGTCATGTGGTTGTCTTATTTTGACATTTAGTTTGGTTCAAAATTCCAATGTATATTTCCTCCCTTGCATTACAACCAAGTGTTGTGGGGGGTTGGTAAATTCCCACCCCCTTGTACTGTAGGCGGTCAGATTGGTGAATTATGAAGTATCAGCACCTGTATACGTGTAGTCCAGCACTGATCATTCACCCCCCCCGAGTGAATCCCTGGAGCAGTTTTGGAACAGATTTCCACATTTTTAGTGGGGTTATAAAGTCAAGCAGCAAATGCTTATTTAGCTGCTAGTGGATGCAAAGGCTCCATTAGATACAGCTGGCAGTGACCAGTGTTCTCTGACTGTCAGGTAATACTGGAAGTGTTGGGTGCTGCTTGCGTATTACAGCAGCTGTGAGTCACCAACAGTGAGGATCTCTCTGCAAGTCATCATGATTTTTGCATATTTTAAAGAGAATGCAGTGTGTGTGCGTGGGCACACGGTTAAACGCAGTGTCTGTCTGCGTGAGTTTACGCCACTCGCTCAGGCCCCAACCAGCGCACAGTGTTCCATCAGCGGGAACTCGCGTCCATCCCGCGTCTCTCTCAGCAGAGTGGAATCCTGCATCATCCGCCAGTGTTGTGTCCCCTTACTGTGAACTGGCAGGGAGTCCCAGTGGTTTCGCACGTGGTTTACACACCAGTCGCTCATCTCCTGGGACCGAGCTCTCTGCGCTTTGGCCTCTTGGTGTCCCAGTGTGGCGATGCAGTGCTGCTGAAGATTCTAAGCTACTGTAACTGTGCCGTGCTGCTGCACAGCACTCTCAGCCACGCTGGCTCCTCAGCGCCACCTGGGGGCCACCTGCCCTAGAGCAATGGGAGATATACAAAAAATTAACAGTGCAGCTAATTCCCACACACCACCCTGGGTCAGGCCTAGAGTTTCTCTCAGAAGGAAGGCTTTTGGATGACCTTTGTGAAAGGTTTGTTCTAGGCTGTTGTGATGTCTGTCTGGCCAGATGACATTACAGCCGTACTGTTATGAAAACAAATTCATAAATGGTTCCTCACCATGATTGTAGAGGTCAATGAATTTGTTCTTTAACAATATTAGCGTTCTTGATTGTTTTCAATTGTTTTGATTTCTCCCGTGTTATTCATTTCAGCCTGATGGAAATGTGGCCTAATTGGTGTCACCCTATGCATTGTATAACAGACATCAAGACAAGATGAGAAGAGTGTTACCCGGTGTACGGAGTCTAATTCACTAACCACACTGAGTGCCGTGTCGCCCTAATTTCCTGTAGTTTCTCACCTATTTCAAGTCTGCAAAGCTGATCCTCTGTTTTATTGTGACAGTTTTGCTATGAATTACAAAAAATGATTTGTGTACCAATACATAGACATAATCGAAGAAATGTTTGATTAAAAAACGTCTAAAAAGTAATACATTCTCATGTTGCCAAAAACCTGAATAAAGACAGTGTATAAATTACTGGGCTTTGAAACCTGCGTGTACCATGCTCTTTGGAAGCGGCTCTGATTTTACCGGCATTTGAACAGGTATTTGTGCGTTTTTGCAGTTCTTTTTTTCGTCACAAGGTGTCAGCAGAGCTTTAGTGTGACCTGTAATTGGCTCTTTTTTTATTTAATTATTTTTTAGTTAATTTTTGTAAAATCTTGCTTCTTGTAATGACTCTCTCCATATCATTCCTTACCCCGCAATTGAAATATTCATCAGCTGTTTTATATTGGATAAGTGCTTTTATTTGCATATCAAAAAGTAATGGCATGCACTTAGCTATTACTGCATAGGACCCACCTAGCTAGTATCGGGTAGGTCCTGCTGTGTCAGTATACCCTCTTAGAGGGGAAAAAAAGGGTAAAGATTTGTACCTTTGCTTGTCACTGGGACTGTACCCTTGTACCTTTTTAAGGTACAGAAATGAACTCTGGGGAACATCCCAAAGGTACACACAGCATTAATGTACTATCAGTGGTACAGATATGTTCCTCAGAGTCCATTTCTGTACCCTAAAAGGTATGATTACCTACAGCTAAGGGTACAGCCCCAGTGACAAGCAAAGGTACAAATTTTTACCCTTTTTTCTGAGAGTGTACTGGGTAGGACCCACTGTATCAGGTACATCTAACTAGTTCCAGGTAGGAACCACTTTTAATTATAGTCATGGTCTGACTACATGGGACCATCTTTTGCCACCAGAAGCACTTCATGGGTAGGTTTGCATCCAGAGGAGCCTTTCTGCACGTCACTGTTATATACCAAGCTGTTACTTTTGCACCTGTGCCCTTACTTTAAGTTTTAATGAGGCCAGCCATTCTCCTCTGACCTTACTCATTAACATGGTGCTTTCAGCCATAAAACTGCTGCTGACTGGTACATTTTTTGTTTATCGTGCCATTTTCTGTTAAACCCCAGACACTGAGGTGTATGAAAATCCCAGGATGCTGGTCGCTTCTGAGATACTGGAACCACCACGTCTGGCACCAGCAATCCCGCCACCACTGTGATGCTGAGCCAAACAGTAACTGGACCTGCTGACCCTGTCTGTGTGATTGTGTATCAGTTGAAGCCATGTGACTCACTGTTTGGAGGCTGACTGTTAACTAGCAAGTGTAGCTAATAAACTGCCCACTGAGTGTATAATAGAATTTCGTTTTGGCAATTCTGTGCAAATGCTGAACATTTCAAAATGAAGCCTATTTACAGCACTGCATAACGTATGCCGAGCATTGTTCAGAGTCATCTGTTCAAATATGTATGTGTTTAATCTCAGAGATGCGACATCATGGAAGGCTACAAGGTGAAGGTGTTCAAAGTGGGGGGAAAAACTCCTTTTTGACGTCAGATATGTTGATCATCTGCATTCACACGCATAGAAGAGAGAGTTGTGAAAAAATAAACAAATAGGCGTCTCGTCATGCGCGTTGGATGTCAGCGTGACCGATACGAGGGATCGATGCGCAGCTGGCCCTTGTTAAAATGAGTTTGGTCGGTCTGTACCAGCTCTAAGTGCTGGTTTTACACACTTGTTCCACGAAGCAGTGGATTGCGGAGATACTGCAATATGCAGTGCCATTAAGGATTCTAGCTTTTAAATCCTCAATGACTCATAATTCTCTGGGATTTGCTGGGCTTGTTTAAGTAAAGCTATAAATAAGAAGTCTCTTGAGTACAGAAAAACACAAGTAAGCTCTGCGCGTGGTGTAAATACGAAGTTAATCCCTCAGAATGGCTTTTCTTCCCACTTGAATGAAAAAAGTGGTGGAACATTCCAGTTACATAAGGCCCGTGGGATTGTGTCTGCAGTTTTAGAAATGATCAGTTATTTTCTTACAAAATGTGGTTATAAGAGGGTGAATCAGTAGCAACCAGCCAGCCACGTCTTATTTGGAGCTACCCCGCAGCAGAGGGTGCATGTTGGCGGCAGACGGTACAGATGAATCTGCTTGTGCATTGAGCCTATACACGATCTGCTGCAGCCTTAAACGGTATTAATAGCAGCCTCCGAATGCGCGCCAACGGGAGCGGGGGAATAAGACAGGACCGGAGGGCACATATACGCACGGACACCGTTTAACAGGGAGGCTGGGACCGCAGGAGAACTTTCCCTTGAGCCGTGTCTCTGCTTACTGTTTGGCTCGCATCGGTGGGGGAGGACAGGACCTATTCAGAAAAATGTACTGTGATGGATGTCGGGGCGACCCCTTCAAAGAGGAGCTGGGGTATCTGTGGGATATATAAGGAGGTTGTCCAGGGTTGTTGTACATGTGAGTTTTTTTGTGGGTTGTAGATTGCCGGATGTCTAATTATCAGGGAGGGTTGCCCGTTCAACTGGGGAATTTAGAACTGGCGTTGGTTACGGCCGACAGTAGCCCTTTGTGAATCGTTCTTCCATTAAAACACTCTTCTGGTTCCGACCCAGTGTGATTGCGATTTATCCAAGATCGCTACTGAACTTTTCTGTACTGTACTGTACTTTTTCATCAGCCCATGCTTAGAAATCAGTCAAAAGATCACTCAGCCTATCAACTGCAAAGGAAAACGGAGCCCATTATCTCCGGTGAGGTGCAAACATTTAAAAATTAATTCAGTAATAGAGAGAGATGAGGCCGGGCCATCAAATGTCCGGAGCACGGTAATTGGGTGTAAACCAGTTACTGTTTGTAACTGATGCTGGAAATGAAACGCCGGTACTGCTCTAATGCGCTGTCACGGTTTCTGACGCTGTAGGACAACAAAGACACTATAAGAGACCCGGAAGAGCCCACCGCGTCCTCTGTCCCTCAAACCGAGCACGAGAAGTCCTCCCAGTAGGCTCCGGTTTCAGGAAGATCGGCTTCACTTCACTTTTGTGTGGCTTGGAAATGGATCCCACTGCCTTTGTGTTTCTAAAAAGTCCGCAATTTAGGCATATATGTGGGAATGAAAACGGAGAAGTGTACGTAGGCTATGATGTGTATTAAATCGTAAAACTTACGCATCTTAAAACTAGATCTGTATAAATCGGTAAAAGCATTTGGAAGCTGGCATATTTGTAGGCCTATTGCATATCCTCTCACTCAGCACAAACTGATTCCATGTTTTATTCAGTGATGACCGCTTATAAATAGCCTAACGTGATTCACCTTCTCAGCTCATTACTTTTGTATGCGCCATTATTTAGGTCCATTGAAATCAAACTGGTGTCCGTGCATTTGAAGGCAATTTAACTACATGGGCTTGTATATTGAGCTTCCCGATTTCTGTTTTTTTTTTCGATCAGAAACTTTCATATCATGAACACTGCCATTTTCTTATCTTAGAGGTTAACAGTGGGTATGTCCTGTCCCAGTAGGAATTATGTAATATGATTAAGAAATGCTCCCTAATAACATAAATAACACGCATCCTAAGAGAGCCGAGCGCATGTCTGCTTCCCCGGGAGCAGTAAAAGCCGCCGCTGCGTAGCACCATGTGCGCTCCTCCCCGAGTTCAAACAGCGAGCTGCCGGCTGGAATGTGACGGGAGATCGGGGCGGCCGGGGACGGACTTCGGGAGCAGAAATAGTGTCTTTAAAAAGCCTCCATGGGGGCAAATGAGAGAGTCGTATGGCGAGAGCGGTGACCGGTCTCCTGTAACAAAAGCGGAACGCCGGTCCAGGGCGGCTCAGAGAGGAGCGGCTTCTTCTCTACAAGGGAGTTCAGACGCTGCGGAAACCCGGCGCATAAACCCGGCGCCGGCTCCCTTTGTGTCGCCCACAAGCTTTACGGTGAGTAACCACATTGTTTGTACAAATTGTTGCGGTGGGGATGTGGACGGAGTTCGTACGTCGTAGTCACGGCTTTTCCTGCTGACTTTGCTAAACGACTCCTGAGTTCGGGGTTTGATTTTGCGTGCAGTTTACGTGCCTATAGCTCCGCGTGTCTTGGGTACAGGCGTCAGTGAAACCATCAGTTTAAGTCCCGGTGAACAGAAGCTTGGGGAAATGTTGTAAAGCGTAACCCTGGCTTTAGTGGTACCGGGATTAGCCTGTACACGGCGCAGTAACTAGTAAGGCATACCTCCATGTTAAGGGTCTGAACGGAGGCACCATTAAACCCTTCTCGGGCTCCCTATTACATCCATTAAACGAAACTACAGAGTGGATTGGAAAATGCCCCGACATTTAACGTGAATAAGCTGCGAACTGATTTCAGGCATATTGCCTTAACAAATGCGTCTTAAGTGTTAAAAACGAATCATCCATCAAACTATATTAAATGGGAGACGATACGTATACTTTTTAAAAAATATTTTATTAAATGGTCTGAGTGCAAACTGTGCCACTTTACTACAAATGAAATGTTTTGCTTCACTTTTCTCCGTGTTTAATAAAAACAGGTGAGCGAGCTGCAGTGGACAAATCGTCCACTAGGGGACGATAATGACAGCTCCGCTGATTAACTTTTGCGGCTGCATGTTGTACTAACGTCGTTCACGCACCCCACCCGCTGTTCAGGTGACACAAATGTCTACGAGTGTTTTTATTTGAGCAATTAAAAAGGCTATTTAGTTAATCTTATTAATGTGTGTCCCTTCAGCAGATTTTTACTGCCGGTTATTAATCAAGGTAATTGGTACTCAAGTTAATTGAGATTGTGTATATTAGAGGTGTGTATTCATTACAAGCCTGAACTAACTGGTGGCTTATTTAAAGAGTTTACCAATTACATATGACAATTGTGACTGGTAGAATTTCTAATTGTGTAACTGCACTTGCATAATCCAAGGTCAGTGTTGCCAGCTGACTTCCAGATAGGTGTAATTAAATCTGGCATCATATTTGGCTAAAGTAGAACATATCTTTCTATTATAAGGGCTACTTTACTTGCTAGGTATGTAGCCCGTTGGCGTAAATGTGCGATGGCAGCACGCGTGTCGTGGAGCTGTGCAAATCAGTTTCCGTGACGTCAGAGGCGCGCTCCTACCGGGTGACAGCTCGCGTCGGGTAAAACTGGCTTCATACGCGCTTTTCACTGGTTCGCGCGCCCGTGCTCCGTGGAGCTTGGGCATGCAAAGCATTTGTGAAATAAAACACTTTTTTCACCAGATAGTTCTACTGTGAGGCTTCTCGGGTCCCGTGGTTAAGGTTAGGGTCACAACCACCGGGACCTTTCTGCCTCTGCTGGTTTTCAGCCTGGACGTGTAAACGCCGCTACAGGGGGTCAGGCACAGCGCCGGGAGGTGACACTGCCTTTAGCGTGGCTGCTCTGGTGGGTCAGTGTGCATGTATACGCTGCCTTGCCAGCAGTGGCTGCCGCTTATACACTTTTCCTTCTATGAACTGCAGGAGATGTAGGTCCTGAGAGCTTGCTGGCTGACAGCCCTTCCAAGGTCCTTCTGTAGGAAATGAGTGTGAATTATGTCAAAACAATTACTGAGGTTTCTCGGCAACCTTGGAGGATTCCACGCCAAGAGCGGGAAAGGCTTCACAGGCTCCTGCTGCCGCTGCCAGAGAATGCATCCCAGCCTCATGTTAATTGACACATCAAAGCCTTGTTGTTTTTAGACAAGCTTCTCTGCTTTTTTCTTTGCAGTTTTTCTTAAAGTGATTTACAAACCCAATAATGTGTTGCGTTCATCCTTGAACCTTGATGAATTAATGGGTGTTCTCTATATTGCCTATACTGCTGTGGCTTTATTTTATTTCTTTTAAATCTTAACCAAACTGGAACTGACTAAGCCGTTTGGGGTTCTGGAAGCCAATGGCGGGTTTGTGTAGATCACGTCATCCAGATCTGGTTTGAGTTGTTTACTAGACAGCGAGTGTGTTAAATTGTACTTGGCGGTTACCAGACATCTGAATGCATCCTTTTAGTTTGGGGTGCTGCTGATTTCAGGCCTTTGGAAACTGAAAATGGCAGTGAGTGTTTGCATTGCTCTTTGGACCAACACGTGTGTGTGTGTGTGTGTGTGTGTGTGTGTGTGTGTTTTGCTGCAACTCCCTCATTAGATTACTAATTAAAGGACTGATTGGCTGAAGAGTCCTCACACCTGGGTTTGAACAGCTGACCTAAAGGTTACACCAAAAACCTGCACACACACCGGCCCTCTGCGGATAAGATTGGCCACCGCTGCTCTATGAAATATCCATAGGAAAAGATGCACATTTGATATCTATGGCCTTTCTGGTCTGATTACTTTTTTTTTTCTTTTTTTTTTTGAACCATCATTTTCCACCACTTCTCTGTAGCTTTCGGAAGGTAACTTGAGTTTCGGCCAATCGGACAGTTATCCTCTTCACCGAAGGCTGTAAACCTCTCATCTCATCGCCGTGTCTCCGGAGGGTTATGGTGGCTCACCAGGTCACACAAGATCTCTCTCCAAGGCTGCAGGTTTTGCCCAGTTCTCTGGGATCCCGAGAGATTCCCCAGCCAGCTGGGAGATATGTAATCCCTCCAGTCTGTGGGTCTCCTGCCTACTGTAACGTACCTGCATCATAATATGCCTGCCCGGCCTGAGCTGACGGCTATCGATCTGAAGGAGCAGAAGCTCTATTTCTATTTTAGGTCCATCCAGATCTTCAAAGTTCTCAACCTGTCACAGAGTGACTGGCATCCCTGTGGCGAAACTTCAATATGGCCGTTTGCACTCGCCGACCTTGTTTGCTCGCTCGTTACCCATGGATCATGACTGTAGGTGGTGATGGGGACGTGGACCACAAGTCTCCTCTGACAGCGGAGCTCCCCGTTTTTCATCGTGGGCTTGCCCCAGCCTGCAGGGGTGCAGCTGCCAAATCAATCTGCCTGTCAGTGCTGTGCTCCATCCTGCCGTCGCTCTTGAGCAGAACTCCCTGAGAGAGGAAATCGTCTCACGCCTCGGCGATCCACAGTTATGTTTACAGGAGCTTGGCTTTCTGCCAGGGTTCAGGTTACAAAAAATGTCTATGGGGAGATGTCTGACAAATTGTAACCCAACAAAGGAGCCCCCCCCCCCCCATGTCAGGCACCAAGGAAAACCCGGGTATCCCACCTGGAATAGGGCACCAAGCCACCTTCTGAATCTGTGCACGTGGAGTCATCACCTCTTCTGTAAGGTGAAGGTCACGCCATGTCAGAGGTGCCATTAATGTTGGCTGCTTATGGTGGCCGGTGCCATGAAGGTTCACTCCTGTCGTGGCTGTTTAGCGTTTGTCCCTGTAGGTTTTGGGATTCAGGTTCCTCAACCTTGTCCCCACTTCTGTGTTTAGTGGCAGCTGGCTTCTGTAAATGGGGAAGTAGAGTTTTCTGCGGTGGAATCTCATGGCTTAGTGTACCATGTCGTTCCATGACGCGGTAAAGCGGTGTAGATCACTGTGGGGACTTGCACTCTCCACCTGCCCCATCCTCCCAGCGTACTTGCCCTCCTCCCACTCTGTCCACACTTGTCATCTCCGTTTTCGCTTTGACCAGCTGCATCTGTCCGACGGATATAACGAGCACCTTCTCCTTATCTGTGGGTCTCTCGCAGTACAAGTTGTTCGCTTTGTTAACCAAATTAGCCGCCGTTCCCTAACGTTTCCATGCGCTACTTGCAAAACTTGACCCCGTCCTTGATCCTGACTTTGTAGCTTGGGATCGCGGCTGCGGACAGAGCCGTGACTTTATCATGATGTACCGCATGTCCCAGCTGAAGTCCTTCCTCCGTGCGGCACGTAAAGCCTACAGCTGCGTGCAAAGCTGGCTTTGTGGGCATGGAGGATGCAGATGGACGGGCGCAGAGCTCTGATCTTGTGCTTCTGAAGGGGTTCCTGATCAAACCTACCAAACCCTTTCCCAATTGATTTAACAAGTCAGACATCAGGTAGAGTATAGGTGACAAGCAGCCCCTGGCGTGAAGGTTTGTGGCCACCGTGATGAACGGTGTGACGGCCAGATGCTGCAGATTAGCACTTTGGCAGCGGACGTTGGGGGGGGGGGGATGCAAAACGGGGGCTTTGTATCTATATAACATGAATTGGTCACCATTGTGCTGTTACATGTATGTTTCTTTAAGCCCCTGCCACACTGTCACGGCTTGCTGCTGTGCCGGAGGTGGCTGTGATCTGTGACTGGAAGCTGTGACAAGCGAGGAGAGAGGTGGCCATTTTTAACAGCTGCGCTTGCAATGAAATTCAGGACTACTTCATGTGGTATACTTTCATTTGGGAGGTTCTACTCTGGCAAACCACCATTAGTGTTGGCGGGGGGTGGGGGTTCTTTATTGTAGGGGATACGGCTATGTCTAATTTCAGGTGTCCTGGTGACCCTGCTCAGTGCAGATGCTCTCCATCCGGTCTCCTGTGAAACCACCAGCCTGCACCCTAAAGGCGGAGTTGATTTATTTGCTGGCGTGTAAACGCTCTCTGACAGAACGGGAGATGCATAGTCGCCCCTCTGGAATTACTCTCAAAGTGCAATGGAGCCTGGCTGGAGGACTGCTTTATTATGGGAGTAAGGGCACAGAGTAGCCACTGGGGGCAGCGTTGTGTTCACATTAGCATATAGATGATGGACTAAACATGCTATTAGGCAATGTTGCTTGGTGTTTTCATGTGATTTGATGGGGGAGGGGGTATGCTCAGGCCTTTCCTTGAACCTTCACTGCCAGAGTGACTCCTTTTTCTCCACTGAATGGTTTTTAAATGGATCTGAGCCTTTTTGTATTCAAACTCGCCGTTAAAGCAGAAATCATTGTCTGTCTACTGATGAAGTGCGACGTACGCTGTTGATCGCCCCCCCCCCAAGCCTGACTGCCAGTTACACAGGTGAC